CAAAAATCAAAACATCACAAATTAATGTCAATGAGAACGATCAATTTCGTTCTCAGAACCGAAAGCAATTAACATTAAACCATAAACCTAGGGTTTCTCATTTGATGCATAACAATAAACCCATAACATAACAACATGCGCTACGGTTACCTAAGTTTGCTAGCTTTTCCACACCTTGGCATCATCCTACTATTGTATAATACAAATATTAAAAATTGCATGAAATCCTAAGTAATGACGAATCTTTGGTTGAAAAATCCGACTAATATATACCGAATCGATGCGAAAAAAATTAGGAGGGGAGCGAGGATACCTTGCTCTCGAAGATCTACGGATCAAATCAAAGTTTTCAAGGTTCAATATGCCGATTCGTGAGGTAGGGCGAAGTGGAGAGAGAAAAAACCCGAGAGGGAGGAGAAAGAAGAAGAAAAAGGCTCGGGCAGGAAGGTTAGGGCCGGGGTTAAAACACCACCTCGACGCCAAGATCTACGGCGCAGAGCTCGACGTCAGGATCTACTGCGTCAAGCTTGGCGCTAGGATCTACGGCGCCGAGCTGCCTGCCAAGTCACCGCCACGTCTGCGTCGAGCCCAAGACGTTGGCGCCAGCAACGATGGCGCCAAGCAGTGTAAGCTCGGCGCCAGTAATGATGGCGCCGATCTAAGGGTCTAGATTTCGAAATCTTAACTCCAACAGCATATTTATGAATTTTTTTTAAAAAAAGGACTAAAAATAAAAAAAAATCGGCCTTTTGATCAGCCGTCGTGCTCTGTTTCCATGTCCACACGTCGTAATTTGATTGGATGTCCGCACCAAGCCGGGTGAGGATGGTCCGCACCCAATTTTTTCCGCGATAGATAGGGTGCTGAAAAGGTTGCGATAGTTTTCTTTTTCTTACCACGCGACGTGAATCGAAACGCTGATGAATGCTACATATTCTCGTACAGTTAGCTATTGTTCACCGGTCCAACCAATCGGAGATGATGGACACGGCCGGATCGGGCGGTCGACCGGCGATGAGAAGCAAAAGTCGTCGCCGGTGCGTACTGGCCACTGTTCCCACTCCTCCCTCTTTTTCCTTCACTGGGGCTAAATTACGACATTGCTCCGGTTTTCATCGCAAAAAGTTGAAGTCCTTAGGATGTCACCAATACTCTAGTTTAGAGCTAGCTGAATCAACTTTTTAATCGTTGAACAGTGCAAAAAGTAAAAGACCAGTGTGGACTCAAGAAAGAGATAGTGTCGCACGTTTTATAATGCATCTATTTCACACCACGATGTTTAGGACTACTTGTTGTGATCTCTTTTCCTCTATATTCATTAGCTTTGAGCCCATGCTAACTCGTACTGTTTTTTTTTTGAGGTACAGTTCCGAGGCTTTATGAAAAGCCCTCTAAGTGATTGATTGTCTAACAGTTAGCCATTTCATCACGGAAAGATGGTGACTCTACGAGATGATTAGTACCAGGTCTGGCCATCTGGCCGCCATAAGAAACGTCAAAAGGCATGTGGCGTGTCGATCGGCCGATCCCCTCTCTGCATGCATGCCATTTCTGCAGGAGATTTGGTACGCATTGCACGGCCAAAACTGTACCAAAACGCAGGCCAGCGGCAGTGTCAGCTGTGTTCTCCAATGGCACTCACACGATAAACTGGACCAAAAGCCGAGCAACTTTTCCGATAGGTAAATCTGGTCAGGTACCCTTGATGTGGCTGTTCCTCTTGTTTTGTCACCTTTTCACAGTAGGTTTGCTTTCTAGAGTGTTCTCTCCGGCCTTAAATAACTGTCGTTTTAGGCTTTCGTGTCATGAATTTGACTAGATTTGTATAAAATACGTGCAACATTTGTATTTCTAAATAAATTTATTATGAAAATAGAATCAAATATCTATTTAATGATATTAATTATGTACTATAATTATTAATATTTTTAATATAAAATTTATCAAAGTTATTTTTCGAAAAGCGAGAACGAGGGTTATTTAGGGACGGAGGGAATATAGGATTTCCATCAGGCTCAACCACTCAGTTAACCACAACATACAAACGGAGCACTGATTACTATCAAATCAGCTGCTAACAAATCGCAAAGCATCCAATAAAACCCCAAACAAACACCAGCAGCAGCAAGGAGGTGAGGTCCCGCCGTCCCGGTCCCCTGCTGGCTGCTGGTGTTGCCACCCAAAGGCTGCTGCATCCCCTGTAGTCTGGGTCCAGCCCTGCTCTGCTGCGTTACTGTGAGTTCAGGTGTGCCTGTTGTTTACCAGATCAATCGTTGGCTCCTTGCTAGCGTAACTCGGGTCTGTGATCCAAAGATTTCTGGTGGTCTCCCTCTCCTCTCATCGCAAGGACGACGCCACGGCTGGCGGCGTCGCGGGTGCAGCGCCGTGTGCCCGGGACCTGTTCGGCAGATTTCCCCCACCGCGACGCGCGGTCCCTCGCGCCGTGCATGCTAAGCGAGATGATGGGGCAGGCTGCCGTACGTGAGCGACGGACCGTTCATACATACTGAAGGGATGGACACCGTGCGGAACAGATTGATGCACCGCCAATGGCTGGCACAGCTAGCTTGAATCGGGGCTCGCATGGCACGCTGCAAGCCTGCAACTCTGTAACTGTGGAAATGGAAGTGGTGTTGTTATCTATGGACGCCGATGATTGATGGTTGGATGGCTGAAAAGTGAGTGGGGGCAGGAGGACAATGCCGCTCTGTTGAACTAGGCCTAGGCTTGAGTGGTACTAGCAAGCTTTGCCTGTTCAGTGGTTTGGATGAGCAGGAATGGGTGGATGCACATGCACTGGTAAACTAAAATGTGCTCAGTATCTAGGTGCACTAGCATTGTGCTTGCTGTTCGTTTGTTCATGGAGTAATTCCTTGGTGCTTTGATGACCTGCACTTCTGGGTTCTATTCGCCACAAGGAGAAACCATTGTGTAGACTGATAGTAATCGGAGTGGAAGGTGTGAACCTCAGATCAGCGAGTATTACAGGAAAATGTAACAGATAATGTCATGTTGGAAGAACGCAGACTCTGTTTGGAGTTTGCATTTGGTTCAGGTAATCGACTTGCACAATTCCTTTTCCATTGATCAATCCTTAATTAGAGTTATGTTTAAAATTTCATGCTAACTTTGAGAAATTAATTTGAAAATTAATTAATACTTCTGAAAAGAGAAGAGAAGATTCTGTTCAGATTATTCAAGTACTATAGAATTAGTAAGGAATATGTATGAGCAGAACAACTGAGGATCTCCATTATATGCCATTTGCATAATCAAGCTGTAACTATTCGTGCCCTCAACTTTCACTTGCTATCAATATTTTCATCAGTTAGTATTGTTATTACTGTTAGGTACAATAAAATCAATATTTTTTCCTTTTGCCATTTCTCTAATGTACTTATTGAATGCCAATAACATAACTGGTTTATTGTGCTGAAACTAATGGGGATTTTAAATGAAGAGTATGTTTTCTGCTTTCATGGTGGAAAAAGATTTTCCAAGACTAAATCCATATTTTTAAGATAAATTAGCATTTATTATGTACAGTTCACATATTCAAGTTCACACATCTATAGTTTCCCTTTGTCAATCCCCATCAGTATAGTTACCAGTGAGATATCAAAAAAATGTTCTTATGATGACCTTTTCTGGATTATTGGAGTTATTTATGATCAAAATGTTTAAAGTCCATGCTTGCTTCATATGGTAAACTTGTGCTGATTGTTAGAAAGACATATTCTCAATGATCTGCACAGTTTGCGGACATGCTTTATGTAATATTAACCTTAGAGACGAGTAGCCTATGATTAGCATAGGTTTACCTCTGGGAGAATGTAGTTTGTAACTTGCTTCTTCCTCTTAATGAGTGAGAAAAATGATCTGCACAGTCCTTTGAAGATTGGAAAATTTTCAGTTCTCAGAAAAATGAGGTAAATTCTTTTCCTACTCTTATATTTTATTACATGATTTTGAGTCTGGGTTATTCTCCTTCCAATAATATGCTACGATCACTGTGCTGCCTTATTACATAACGTGATATGTTCTTCAAGTGCCTTATGTTCCTCTTCAGTGATATGTTCTGTGGTAATGCGGCAGAGACTGCCGATCACCTCATCTTTTGCTGCCTGGTTCCTTCGGCTTTCTGGAATCATATTGGCTGGACTGGGGTCAACCTTCCGGAGCCAACTCACCTATGGGAGATGCCACGGCCACCACATATCCCGGCTAAGCACTTCCTGATGATGATACTACTGTGTTGCTGGCAGATTTGGAACCATCGCCACGACGTCGTCTTTCGCCGTTAGCAACCCTGTCTGAGCCGCCTCCTGTACAGCTGCAGGGAAACATGTCGCCTATGGAGCAGGCGCCTTCGTTCCCAAGACCGTTCCATTGCTGATCATTGGTGTAATTTATTTGTCATGAATTAATGCCCTGTACGATTAAGACCATGTAAACTCTAGGTGCCTAGCATCCTCCATTTAACGGCTTGCCGGAATCTATGGAAAATCATTCAGGTGGGGCTCTCCCCCCTCCGGTGAAGTCTTCAAAAAAAAAAAAAAAGATATGTATGTGCAGTTTGCTTTACCGGCTCAGCGCTAGGCGCTAGAGTTTCTTTGCATTTTGTCAATTTATGATGCAACTAATTGCAAACCATCCCTACAGGACAACAACACGTCCTAGTAAATAGTGACTAGATCTACTAGTATGCAGCAAAATACAGAAATAATTTTACGATGTAAAATGTAATATAAATACCGAACAATATGGCTGCTGCTGAAGTGCCAGAGTAGTTAAAATTCTTAGAGTTTAGTGCCTGTTGGATCTAACAAGAGGCAACTGTTTCAAGTACACTAATGGTCTTCTCATACTGTAAGAATGGCATGTAAAATTCTCAGCATGCTGTGCAGTACAATACATGGAATATGGATAAATACTCTTGTTCTTTTTTTAATACATAATAAAAACTGTATGAAGAGATGGTACAAGAATAAGGGCATATATCACTGAACTTCTGGTTTTATCTCCCTGGTCATTGCATATTCAATCAGGTGCCTTACATTACTGTAACTTGACCCTCGATCTGTAGCCTGTCTAGCCTTTTTCTTTAGTTCCCTAGCTCTCATTCTTCTCTCTTCTGCATCTGTATCTTTACCCATCAGTTTTAGAACGGCTTGCTCTATCTGGCACCTCTTCACTATAGAAACTTCATGGGCCTGCATTGTCCTAGCTGTGATGTTCTGCACACCAACAGGCACTCCTACTTTCAGAATATCTACTATCAGTTTCTCATTCAAGAATTGCTCTGCACAATGCGGCCATGTAATCATGGGCATCCCACATGAAATTCCTTCTATAGTTGAGTTCCACCCGCAGTGTGTCATGAAACCCCCCAAAGATGGATGCGAGAGGATCATAGCCTGTGGTGCCCAACCTCGTATTATGAGACCTCTGTCTCTTATTCTCTCTTCAAACTCATCCAGTAATTTCTCAATACCTGAAGCTTTATTATCAGATTTTATCACCCAAAGAAAGGGCCTCCTTGAAGCCTCTAAGCCCAATGCGATCTCTTCGATCTGTGAAAACACAGTATGAGCCATGCTTCCAAAACTGACATAAAGAACCGACCCTGGTTTCATGGAGTCAAGCCATTGCAAACAATGCTTCCCATCGACTGATGTCTTATCACCCCTGGATTCCATTGCATCCATGTCAGTATTGCAGAGGAACATCGGCCCAAGGGACCAAATTTTCTTGCCTATTTTCATCTGGTAGGCCTCATGGTACAATGGTTCAAGCTCATCGAAGCTATTTGTGACCACACCGTCAGCTCTCCGTTCCTCCTCTAGGATTTTCGCACGGAATTGCTCAAACCCTGGCGAGTTAAAGTTCCCAGGAGATCTTGCCTTTGATACCTCAAGGCAATGAGGAAACCCAGGGAGCACAATTAGCCTATTGTCATCAGATATATTCTCAAAAATCTTCTCCTGATGGATGATGTACCTAAAACATTACCGCATTTGTATATGTGAAGGAAATCAAGAAGAGAAATGATTAACTAATGGATAAGTAGTAGTTAATACCTGCAGAGGGAGGAGAAGGCACAGAAGCCATTAAACATCAACCTGGGGATGCCAAGCTCCCTTGCAACATCCCCTGTCCATGGCTGGCACAGGTCTGATATTATGCAGGAAGGAGGGTTGCTCTGGGCATGGAGATATGACACGAGGGGCTTGTGTAACATGCTGTAGGCGTCTGTAAGCATCTTGACCTGCTCTTTCCCTAGGACTTTGTCAACATTCTCGCAGCCTTCGGGTAGTCCTACCTCAACACAGCGGAGCTTGAGGGCTACAAAGTGGATTGGAAGGTTCAGCTCTCTTGCCCTGTCAATGGTGGATTCTATCCGAGAGGCATTGGCAGGGGTGGTGATGAAGCTGACCATGGCACCATGTTTTGCAAGGAGATGAGCCATGTCAATCATGGGAATGGTGTGGCCTTGCGCCATGAACGGAACCAAGACGAAATGTGGCTTTTGAGTATCATCTCGGGCATTCATGGCTACCTGTTTGGTCTTGACTCAAACACAGCTATGGAGAAGAAACTGGTGCCTTTTAATAAATACATGAACTGTTTCAGTAGATAGAGGGAATGCAACTTTCTCATCTAATTATGTTGAAAACATTGACCCATTGACTCCAATTGAATAAGACAATACATAGCTGGTATTCAAAGGAAGATATTCAAAGCGCTGCTTGTTTTTCCAGACACCTGCTTTGTCTTTCAGTCTTTCATTTTCACCGGTGGGACCAATGGAGGAAACTTAGGTCTGAATCTGTAGTCTTGGTCAAAAAGTGTTAGTGGTGGAAAATTATTCTGCAGTTCGCTCTTGTTATATTGGTGGAAAGATTATTTAAGTGAAGAATTCAAGATTACTTAATCCGGCTGCAGTTGAGTTAGCAAAGAGTAGTTGGAAGTATCTGCCAGAAATGCATAACAGGAGAATAGGCTGGCCAACTGAGTTGTGTTATAATGAAAGAAATATATACTTTGACACAAGTTGGCAGAGTTTATGTAAACTGAACGTTTCAGCTCAGTCATCAAACAGGGTTCACATTAACTGATTGGTTATATAAAGTTTGATGTGAGCCATCAAGAGAAACTTTGATAAGGGTAGAAACATGAGGTGTGATAGGTTTTCTGTGGACTACTTTAATTGTCATCTGCAGTCAGTCCCAACTTGATGTCATTTTAAAAGTTCCATCTGGAAGGCATGCGGAAGACTACAAGTCACATTTTCTTTTTCAGGGCAGAGATATGATGACAGTAGGGGTTTCTAGACCATGAATGAGTCATACAAAGAGATCCATCGAGTGTTATTGTCTGCTACCAATAGGAGATAAAAACAAGTTCATATAAAAAAACACTGAATCTCTTTTTTAACCACAGAAAAACAGTTTATGCCTCTGTATGGTATGATGCTTCCTTTTCCATACTAACATTTTCTGTTTGACCAAACCTGTAAAAACTACTTATGATATTGAATAAGTATCATTAGATTAATCATGGGAAATATATTTTCACAGTAACCTATTTAGAGACATAAATGTCATACTATTTTCTATAAATTTAGTCTTTTTTTCTAAAAAAATGATTTGGTTCAAATCTAAAATTACACTTTTTTTTTGGACGGAGAGAGTACATCCATATAAAATTTCTCAAAATTTCAGGTGCAAACCCAATCATGTTTATATGAGATTAAATTAAAGAGGAAAATTTTGGCTGAAATCGATGTGAGCATGTTCGTTCCTTCCGTGCAATGCATTCATTTGCATCTGAAATTCCACATGGATGGAGGAGGAGGACGCAACGTCACCTATGGTCGCGAAAATTTTGAAATCATCTATTACGATCTGTAGCGGATTTGCACTGTCGTTGAGGCAAATCTTCCCTTTTCAGAAAGTACCCATTTGCACTGAGAATCTGATGCACCCGGAGGCAACGAACGATGAACATCACCTTTGGCCCGTCGCCGCCGTTGGCTTGCAGCCATTGGACGGCCGGCCGACGGCCTCGGCCTGCCACTACTGCCGTGCCGTGCCCGTGCGGCCGTGTGCTCGCCAGTCGCCAATGATGCGGCACGTCAACGACTCACCGTCGCCGTTGATTTTTTTTATGCGAATGTTGGCTAGATGCTTTTGGCCAGCAATTACTTTTTTTCCCTCAAATGGGACTAATTGCTGGGTTTTTTTTTGTCGTGGCCACAAAGTGCATGGATGATGGATGGCTAGATGCTTCTTGTGTTCGTGGCCATTGATTTTTGCAAACGCCATTACCCTAACGTGCCTTTTTTTTTTCTTTCCTTTCTTGCGCATGAACTTTACTTTGCTCAAGATTAATTACCGGGTAATTTCGGATCAAGAAATATTGGTGTGGTTAGCCATGAACTCAATTTAATTTGCTCTTTTTTTAAGAAAATGGAAGAGTGCTATCTAGCTTATGTTGTCTATGGAACAATAAAAATGCAATAATACATTGCCATGTCTTTATTTGAAAGTATTATATATAGTCAAAGTTGTGTAATTGTGTTCTTGACGCTCCAAAACATCGCATGGCTAAAGTTAGACATGTTTGACTACGATAGTAGTATTATTTACAAACAGATATAAAGTAATTTACTTAACTGTCCGGTTCAAACTATAGTTCATTCTAACTTTTTGTTGAGTTAAACTTCTCTAATTTTGACAATTCTATAGAGAAGTGCATAGAGTCTACTGCATGAAATTAATTTCATAAATTCTCTGCAAAACATGTTTTGCTGTTGCATATTTGAAGTTGTAGATACTAATATATTTTTCCTAAAAACTCAGCCAAAATTAGAGAAGCTTGACTTAGCATAGAGCTAAAGTCTACTATAATTTGAAATTCAGGATTATATTTACAATAATAATAAAACTAAGCTAAAGTTTACTATTGAATTATTGATTGTTTACGATACTCACTTAGGGTCAAATCAAAATCAAAAGTACAAAATAGTGCACATTGAAAAGTATGCCCACGCCCACGTTAGATCAAATCAGGCCTGTTCGTTTGAACTTATCAGCCGGCTTATCAGCTGTAATGTACAGTATTTTTCTAAAAAAAAAACAGCTCCAGCCGGCTTGAAGCATGAACTTGTCTCGCTGCTGGGTACTGGTGGCTGAGTGTCGTCTACCCCGCACACGCACGCACGCATAGCAATAGCAGCAGTCCTGACATGACGACGGCTAATACGACAGCAATGGCGGCGGAGCTCCACTTCGTGCTGGTGCCGGTGATGGCGCAGGGCCACTTGCTCCCTATGCTCGACCTGGCGCGCCTCATCGCAGGTCACGGCGCGCGCGTCACCGTCGTGCTGACGCCCGTGAACGCCGCGCGCAACAGGCCCTTCCTGGAGCACGCCGCGCGGGCGGGGCTTGCCGTCGAGTTCGCCGAGTTCGCCTTCCTGGGACCCGCGCTGGGCCTGCCCGAGGGCTGCGAGAGCGTCGACATGGTGACGGACCTGTCCCTCATAGTCCCGTTCTACGATGCCATGTGGCTTCTCGCCGCGCCGCTCGAGGCGTACCTCCGGTCGCTGCCCCGGCGCCCCGACTGCCTCGTCGCCGACTCGTTGGCCCCCTGGACGGCGGGCGTCGCGTGGCGCGTCGGCGTCCCGCGGTTGGTGCTCCACGGGCCGTCCGCGTTCTACCTCCTCGCCGTGCACAACCTCGCCAAGCACGGCGCGTACGACGGCGCCGCCGGCGACTTGGAGCCGTTCGAGGTGCCGGACTTCCCAGTGCGCGCGGTTGTCAGCAGGGCGACGTCGCTCGGGTTCTTTCAGTGGCCAGGGATGGAGAGGTTCCGGCGGGAGACGCTGGAAGCCGAGGCTACCGCTGACGGCCTGCTCGTCAACACGTGCTCGGCCTTGGAGGGCGCGTTCGTCGAGGGCTACGCGGCGGCGCTCGGCCGGAAGGTATGGGCTGTCGGGCCGCTCTGCCTCACCGATGCCGACGCAGACACGATGGCGGGTAGAGGCAACCGTGCGGCAATGGACACCGGGCACATCGTGTCCTGGCTCGACGCGCGGCCGGCAGCGTCTGTGCTCTATGTCAACTTCGGCAGCATCGCCCGCCTGTTCCCAACGCAGGTCGCCGAGCTCGCCGCCGGCCTGGAGGCGTCGCGCCGGCCGTTCATCTGGTCGACTAAAGAGACCGCCGGACTGGACGCGGAGTTCGAGGCCCGCGTCAAGGACTACGGCCTCGTCATCCGCGGGTGGGCGCCGCAGATGACCATCCTGTCGCACCCCGCCGTCGGCGGCTTCTTGACGCACTGCGGGTGGAACTCGACGCTCGAGGCCATCTCCAACGGCGTGCCGCTGCTGACCTGGCCGCAGTTCGCCGACCAGTTCCTGAACGAGGCGCTGGTCGTGGACGTGCTCGGCGTCGGCGTCCGCGCCGGCGTGAAGGTACCGGCCACGCATGCGATGCTCCTGAATCCCGGGGACCCACTGGAGGTGCAGGTCGGGAGGGACGATGTGGAGAGGGTGGTGGCCGAGCTGATGGACGACGGGCCAGCGGGCGCGGGGCGGAGGGCCAAGGCGAAGGAGCTCGCCCACAGAACGGTGGCCGCGGTGACCAATGGCGGCTCGTCGGACATGGACTTGAAGAGCATGCTCCGTCACGTTGTGGAGCTGTCGCGAAAGGATGAACACTTGGTCCGTGGTGCAGCGGATGCTGCGATCAAGGACAAGGAGAAGAAGATGGACATGGACGACTCGGATGACCATACTCAGAGTGGCATCCTGTGAGACACAGCTAGGAATTGAATACTTGGCGAGGAAGAAGAACAGTATTGTACGCTAAGTGCTTGTAATACAAGAATGAATATACGATTCACTTGTTTGCTGTCCTCTATCGTTCTCGGCACTCAGCTCATATACTTAGCTACGCTTGCCACATGGGCCCGAACAGGGGTTGGGCCGCGCCTGTCTCTTGGGCCTCGGGGAAGGAGGGTCAGCGTTACTGGGGAAGACTTCTGGACCACCAGCGGCATCAATGTCTCCTTTGAACCATTTGCCATCACGAAGAATACACTCTTGATGCCATTTAAGTTGTCCCCACTTTACGAGGACCGATCAATTCTTCTAAGATCTATAAAGTTGGTTTGAGAGTTTGGGGCCCGATAGCAATTTTATCCCTGAGCACTCGTAAACTTCGACAAGCATTTGTTTTGTTACTCTATGAGGCGAAATCTCCTAGACGGGTAAACTTTGCTTGTCGAACTCTCAAGAAATTTTGTGAAGGTTTCGATTTCACCTCCACAAGGGAAAGTGGAGCCAAGACACTTTGGGATCCTTTAGCAGGGCGAAGTGATTTAAGAGAAATACGGCTTCCTTGTGAGTTCTTCAATATAAATAGTCACAAAGGTGAGTCGAACATCGATAAACGAATCATGCATCATTTTTCTTGTTTTTTGTGTTCTTATTGCTGAATTTGACTTTTGGGTTATTCACATCGATCTACTTGTTATTGTGTTTTTGGTTGTAGGTTTTGGGAGAAACCAACTTACTACATGTCCAACAACCTTAGTAACAAGTATAATCGATTAAATAGGCTTAATCTTTATCAATTTGTGATTTTGCATTACCCAGTTCACGAAATTCTGACCCAGGGCGTGAAAATTCCTGAACTTTTGAACTTGGCTAGAAATTCCGATCCTATAATCCGTGGGTTTTTTTTTTGCTTTTTAGGAACACCACCCTACTCTAAGTGGCATCTCGATGCTTTCATCGGCTTGAGCAAATAACGAAGACAATGGAAATGGTCGGAGATGGACGTGCACCCTATAGGGAATAACAGAGGACGACAATGAGCCTATTTAGGGCTTGTTTGGATCCCTTAGACTAACAATTAGCTGCTAATTTTTAATCCAGAGGAATCCAGACGGACTAGCTAAAAGAGGAGCTAATTTTTCGCGCACACTAGAACTAGTAATTAGTTCACTAGTCGAGAGAAGGGAGCTAACGAGAGCAAAAAGGGGCTAACAAGAGGGGAATGACTCTTTTATCCTGCTACTACACACTCTCTCCCCCCCTCCGGTCTCCCTCGTCGACACCTTGCTACAGTGCCGCCAATGGACCTCGACTAGTTGGCCTATGAGCTTGGAGTCAATCAACTCGCCCAAGCATCGATCCACCACGCCGTCCTCAATCTGCTACGCCAGCAATGATCTGCAGGCCCCATCGTTAAGCAGTCGCACCAACCTCAATCTGTCGAGCCTCAATCATCTGTCATAGCCACCGTTGTTCCTGCTCCCGACCACGGGTGCTATCGCCACCGGGAGAAGCTTCATGACTAGGATAGCATGAGCAGTCGGGGGATGGAGGCCCCTGCCGGGAGAGAGACACGCACAAGGAGCTCGACCTTGCCTCTGTTCGGCCACCGCCTCCGACCTCGCCTCTTCGTGAGCTCTAGCTTTGTGTGGCTGCGTGATGGAGAGTAGGGATGACAACAGGGAGGATTCGGGTCGGGTGGAGTCTCCACGAAAAACAATGAAACCCAAACTCAAAACCTGAAACAACCCCGAATACTGTTTGGGTGATAATCCAAACCCGAAACGAAACCCGATGGATCGCCGAAACCTGAACCCACCACTATATGGTAGTATAAAAAAATAATAGGGATTTTTCTAACAACACATGCATGATATATATATATATATATATATATATATATATATATATATATATATATATACATATTCACATGTATAAACAAGAGTGAAAGGTCCTAATGGCTAGAGGGGGGTGAATAGCCTATTAAAAATTTCTACAACAACACTAAGACAAGTGATTAGTAAATAAGATGGCAAAACGAATTCTACGCTAACACTACACTAGTGTTGCAAGCCACCTACCCAATTCTAATCTCTATGATCTCTAGTATATCACATAAGGGCTAAGTCACTAATTTACACCTAGGTGAACAAGCTAGCAAGAGAACTACAACTAAAGAGCTACACTAACTAGTTACAACTACTACAAGCTCTACACAAGTAAATACACAAAGTAAAGCAAGAGAGTGGTAGAGGTGATATACCGCCGTGGCAAGTGATCACACAATGAATACCAAGAATACCAAGGAGACAATGATGACACAATCATTTTTCCTACGAGGTTCACTTGCTTGTCGGCAAGCTAGTCCCCGTTGTGGCAATTCACTCACTTGGAAGTTCACGCGTTAATAGGCATCACACGCCTAACCCGTAACCGGGTGCCGCACAACCAACACAAGATGAGGATCCACAAGCCATGCGCAATCCACTAGAGTTACCTTTGGCGCTCCGTCGGAGAAGGCACAAGAACCCCTCACAATCACAATGATCGGAGCCGGAGACAATCACCTTCCTCCGCTAGACGATCCACCAATCATCAGGCCGTCTAGGTGTCAGCAAACACCAAGAGTAACAAGATCTCCACCAACCCAAATCGCCCAACTAGTGCTACAAGATGCTAGACCACTAAGCAATACACTAGATGCTCTCCAATCTCACTCAAGATGATGAAATCAAATGTGCAAGTGAGTGAAGTGGTGTGCTCAGCTCTCAAAGGATGTATGCAGCTGTTAGAAGTGCCAGGAGAATGGCCAAGGCTGGCCACCACTTCTATTTATAAGTCCACAAACAAATAGAGCCGTTACCCCTTGGCAATGTTTTCCTAAACGGTAAACAGTAAACAGTCGGTCACCCTTCGTTTAGTGTTTATACGGTTTAGACAGTGTTTAAACGGAATTAAACGGTCTAAACGGTTTTGTATAAATCCATCCAAAAATATATTTTTATGGATATAAAATCCAAATATTATGACGAGTAAATAAGTTCCCATCTGCATTCTCATAGTATTAGCCTTTTAGTTATCACAGATTCAGTCACATGCTGCCAGAAAGACTTAAAAATAACATGACCACATCAAATCATGCTTGATGGCATAGATCATGTAACCTGGCCATGTATCGCCGTGTTTGTTTTGGCTGGTTTGGCTTATAAGCCATGGCTGAAAGTACTGTTGGCTAGTTTGATGTGAGAGAAAAATATTGTTTGTTGGCTGATAAGCCAAATACGACCAAACGAACAGGGTGATGGTGTTTAAACCTATGAATCCCTGCTGACACTTCTTGACCGCACAGCTTCCACTTGATCAAATTTAAATTGTTTGGATCCACCAGAACTCCATAATCTCATCCAATGTCATCAGAGTTCCTCTTCAGGGGCATTGGCTTGCTGGTGGAACCAGAAGGATTTGATGCGGCGGACGATATCCTTCAAATGATCAAATAAAAGAGAGCATTAGGCCACCAGTAGATCAAATTGTAATCAGCAGTACTGCAGGTATGCTGTACTGCATAGGCAGCTATTTAACAATCTTGTATATATACTACATAGACAAATTCTGCTAAAAAAATACTACATAGACAGTACTTCGGGCATAGTAAATTAGTAATAATAAATTAGTAATAAAAACAAAGTTGTGCTTGTTACTCGTACAACATTACGACATGCATACACTGGTTTTACTTTTACTTTTACAGGAGATAAACCGCAAGTCGATAATGTGGAATAGAATGGGGGAGATGAAGCAGGACTTAGGTACTACCTGCAGATTGGAGGCTGGCGTGGTCACAGACCTGCAGAGCGTCCAAGCTTGGTTGTGAATCTGAGGCCCTGTTTAGTTGCACCTTAATTTTTTAAAATTCTTCGTCAAATCGAATCTTTGGACGCATACATAAAACATTAAATATAAATAAAAAATAAAATTAATTACACAGTTTAGACGAAATCCACGAGATGAATCTTTTAAGCCTAATTAGACTGTATAGAAGATTTAAGCCTGCAAAAAAAACTATCGGCAAAACTGCAGTAGATATAATTACAATTAAAATAATTTGACAAATCCACTTTTGCTCATATAGAAGGCATCACATTGAACAAATTCACTTGATTTTTGTATAAATGATATATTAGATCTTTCATACATACACCAACTTTTATATATATATATATAGCAGGTCAAGTAATGATCATAGTACATAGAGCCATATAGGTCTAAGATATATATTAGTCAGTTACATACATGTATAGACATAGAACAAGTCTTGTATTAATTGATTATGACTAAGGCTAAGAGATCAATAGTATGGTTGCTGCCACTCCATGGTTGCTGCCACTCCATAGTTGCTGTCACTCCAAAATGTTTGAACATAAGCTTCGTGCATATATGGTTGCTGCCACTCTACATAACATGTAACAGCTCTTTGATCGAACCTCAAAAGCTTACCAATCCAAAATACTTGCAACACCACATAGTACCTAACATGAAAAAATGTGAAATAGCAGTGCAATGTGCTCTGTACATTAACTCCTAATATGAAATGCACAGTATGCAAAATTCTAAAATTATGGGACACATTTATATTGCTATGTGTAGATGGCACCTAAGCATCTGCAGCCTCTTGGACCTTCAATTGACATATTTATATTGCTATGTTTTCTACTCCATAAGCTCTATTTTCCTGCCATACTTGCCTCGATGAGCTACTACTACAAGGGCACTGCCCAGGTACTAGTGATGGGCAAATCTGAACTAAACTATTTATTCATGTGATGCACAAACATGCATACAAGGAGCAAAAGATGGAACTGCAGCTTGCCGATAGATAAAATTTACTAATGGAATGCATCTATGCTGTCTAATACTCACATCGACCTAGGTACCAGACAAGCAAAGACACGTGATCTGCTATGCCCTATTGT